TAAATAATAATAGGAACACCGATTGAGTCGTAAATAGACACTGATGAGGAGTCTTATAGGATGACAAAACAACTACCCATTACCATCTCGTTCTTATAAAATTGATGAAAACGATACATGAAACAAAAACAAAGAATATAATTCAATAGTTTATATTGTTAGCAAACATCTCCGTATCTTGTAAAGATAAAAGAAGTAATACAACCGATACTTATCTTGACTTCTAGTCTTCTATTTATGTAAGCGCATTGCTGAAGAGTCTCAAAACAGACGAAACAACCGTTGAGTGCTTTCAAGTTTTCCATAATGATCTAACTCCAATCTAACTCATGATCTCAACTAATGAATAAAAAAAATTAGTTACTTTAATTCTTTTCTCCGCCCTTCATTCCACACCCTATATGTGTACACACACACACACACACACATAATTAGTTTCTTTACAAATTATGATTGGCGCCTAAATCTTTAACATTCAAACTATAGCAGTAGTATAATCATAATAACATATTGACTATATCAATCAGTATAATAAAAATAGGCAGACATAATATTTTCACTTATAATTAAGTAGAAGAAAAAAGTAGTATGAAGCATAAATGCCAAAATAACACAACTTAGAATGAAGGGGTTAGAGAATGGGTGAATGGATGGATGGATAGATGGATGGGTAGGATGGATAGATGGATAGATGTAACATAACACATTTATGTTTAACTTATGCACTAATTGGTATATCTTCTTTATTTTGCATAGTGATTGACAGTACAATTCAAAATGTACGTTTAGTTCTATTTATCAAGTGAATATTATCTTTATCCCAGTATTGATATTCATATTTAAGATATTGAATTCCAGGTTTAAATTTAATCAACTCTCAATAATATTATAGATTTGAATCGTTGAATTCATAAGTCAGTTGAAGTTAGATCATCATGAAAAAAATAACAGCACTTATGCAGCTACCCAGATACACGAACATCTCGACTACTTCAATCTGTTCACCATCCAGGGTGAGTACAGGACTAGGATTCTGCCAGTCTTGTAGAAGTACTTTGCACTTAGAAGGTGCAAAGCACATACCGTACCTACGGACATTGATTGCCAACTGATTAAGTACGGATTGCATGTCTTGGGCATTATCGCATAGTAAGACAATATCATCCGCATACTCAAGGCCTTTCTCCAGGCAACAGATTCACACCACCATTACTTACATCCATCAGAGCTGTTCCCAGAATGTCATCGATGGCAAAGTTGAAGAGGAATGGTGAGATTGGACAACCTTACCTAACCCCATTGCTTGAATGGAACTATGGAGAGAGGTGGGTGTATGCCCTCACTCTGCCTGAGATGTTTGTATATGGGGCTTCCAATATGTTAATAATCTTCTCAGGCACACCCTTCTTCAATAGACAATCCCAGAGAACAATCCCGTCCAACGAATCGAAGGCAGCCCTGATGTCAGGAAATGCTACGATTGTTGGCCTGTGATAAGTATAACGGTTTTCTAACATTTGGCAGAGGGTAGAGATTTGACCAATACATCTTCGAACAGAACGAAAATCAGCCTGCCCCTCGCGAGTCAATCTTTCTCAGGTTTTGAACAACCTACGAAGTATGACGGAAGCCAATAGCTTGGACGCAATCGGAAGTAGACTTATCCCCCAATAGTTGTCACAGGAACGACGTGAACCTTTTTTAAAGATAGGGACAACTATCGACTCACTCCATGACGTTGGGACGCTCTCTGACTGCCAAACCCTTGTGAACAACTCAAACAGTTCCTTAGTCAGAAAGTCACTACCATCTTTAAAAAGGGCCGGAAGTAGGTCATATGAGCCTGGTGATTTGTAGCGCTTCAAGAGTTGGAGTTTCATGCGAAATTCCACCTCATTTGGTGAATCAGTCGTCACGGGACATGGAGGGCAGAACCGTCTGATCGATGTTGTCGGAGCAGCAGACCAGTTGAACCGCTCCTCAAAAAACCCGGCCATCGTCCAAGACGTCGTTTGATGTTAGTGATCGGCATTCCGTCATCCCCACAGATTGTTTCGTTCACACCGACCTTCTCGTTGCCAGTGGCTTGGATGAGTTGAAAGAGCTATTTACCTAAAACTGAAACTAAAACCCCAATAAATAAAATAACTCCATAAATAATGTAAATAAATTTCCGTATCCTGGCTGTAATAAAGGCCCACCAACTACGAAAGGCATAATCAATCACTGCTATGTAGTACATAGGTGGTTAGCAAACACCTGACAGGAAGTAAAATCAAAGACAAAAAACCTGCAAAACAACTACTGAGCCCCGGTAGTTGTGCAGTGTTTCAATGTAGCCTCTTCTCCAGAAGGGCCTACCAGGCTTCACCAACTAGTTTGGCCAAGCGTTCATAGCGACGTCGCTTTTTAATCCTTTGATGTTGGCTCTTTCTATCATTGTGAAGCGGAATTCATCAAGCGTTGGATTGTTCACCCACTAACGGGGAAAGTGAGTTAAATTTAGACCACCGTGAGACAGGTTAGTTTTACCCTACTAATGAGTACGTTAGTAGAGTTCAATCTGGCCGTTGCTATGGTAATCAGTTTAGTACGAGAGGAACCGCAGGTTCAGATAATTATTATATGTGCCTGGTCGAAAAACCAATGGTGCGAAGCTACCATCTGATGTCTGAATCCCAACCAACCTTGCAACGGTACATTTTGTATCCGACACGAAGCTGAGCAAGCTTACGTATTGATTTGGAATCTGGACTGCACTATGTTTTCGGCTAGACCAATTAGGTCAGATGTTATGCGAGAGCGATGACCATAAACCGTGCTCCGGATATTGAGACACGGTAGTCGACACGATATCCAATTGTGCTATGAGCGTAAGGATAGTAAATCGTTTGTAGACGACTTAATGTTTTGTCGTGAACATTTAAGTGCTCGAGCAACTATCACACTGTGAGGCAATGAATCCTATAATTGCTTGGCGTAACAATTTGAGGACATGTACCTCAATTATTTACCTTATGGCACAGGAATTCGCTAAAATAGGGGACGCAGAAGTACTAATCACTAGATTTCGAAGGTTGATATAGAACAAATGAGGAGATGAGAGTATATGCCAACACGCATATAAATCGCAAGACAATTATGAAAGGGTTAACACGTGCATTTATCCACACCATAAAAATATACAAAATATTACCTTCATAAGAGTGGTGAATTTCCAATGTTCTCAAGGAAATTCTATAGTAATATTTCCGATCACATTATCTTTCATAACCAATTAATGTTTTTCAATGCAATTTACTTTGTGTTATCTAGCTAATTGAGTACTATTTAATGATGTATAATATGTACACGTATATTAAGATTTGTGATTGACGATTTACACCTGCTCTTACTCGTCATGTTATATAGGGATACTACCCCTAACTCATTGCTCTCCCAATGAGAATTTCGCAAATGCGATAAGAACGATCTTGGTGATCTGGCAATAGTATCCCAACACCAGACAATTAGTTTCAAGCGTAATTTGAGCCCTAACGCTTCAGGCTGATCTATTTCGTTTACTATCCTACATATGTGTTCTATGCAGTATATGCTATATTGCTATGTAAAGTTGATGCTTGTTAACGTACCGGGATAACCGATTATAATACTATTTGATTGGTCAATTCTATCGATTTAATAATGTGTTATGTATGAATACTCATCAATATTGATATGAAGCGTTAAATATTCACAGGGCATTTAGTTTATCTTCATTACAATCCAATGGTGAACATGGGCTACAGTGTCTTGATGAAACTAACGGCATATTAACCAATTATTGGTCACCGGCTACCATTGAACTGAATCTCCTGACGTTGATTTACTGCTGTTTGGATCAAATCTTTAGGTCGAAGGCTAAGATATTCACCTACTTTGGTTTGGGCACACTGACGGTATCCCAACCCTCACACAAATTGAATGATTTATAAGGCGTATATCTATTCGATGCCTCCTTGCACCAATGGGTATGTATTTAAATAAATAACTTCCATAGGAATACGTATATTTTAGCTAAAAAATATCTATCCAAACATCCACACACACACACACAACTACAAATAAAAATGTATAAAATAGAGGAAGACAAAAGTGTGAAAATAAACAAGCAAACAACAACAACAACAAAACGTCTATCTATTAATCATCAAATAAACATTTAAAAAAAAATAAAACCATGAGAAAACACAAACCGTTAAGGCAAAATCAAACAAACAAAAACTCTATTATCGAGACAGAGAGAGAGAGAGGGGGAGAAAAAAAAGGAAAAGAAAAAATACAAAATAACTTGAATCGATTATTTTTGTTTGTATTGTGTACAATAAACAAACAAACAATGAAACTTTTGAAATGATGAATTCTTCTTAGAGAATCTTGCCAACAACATATTCTTATTACATGAATTCACTTCTATAAATTTTAATAGAATAACATAGAAATCCATTTAGTTCATTTACTATCAAAGGAGACAATAGAAAAATTGCACAAAGAAATCATAATCATTTAAAGAAGATTATCGTCTGACGTAGATACCCATCGTACTTCTGAAGATAGATAGATAGATAGTTGAGAAAATTTACACAAAAATACTATACGGTTTAAACAAAAAATAAGTAAAGAGAATATGAAGGTGAGATCTAGAATTTATGAACAACCTTTGATTAACGCGCTACAGTGATCTCGAAACAATCCATTTAATCACTAGAACCAAATGAGCTTTATACACTAATATAAGGAATAAACATTAGTTATAATACCAAAATGCTCTTTAACCAAATGAATGAGTGAATTTCCAAGATTTGTTATCTTCAATCTGATTGGTTCATTCATTAATTCTAGTCTCACCAATAGGAATTTCACACTAAAATCCAAGATCGGTTATCTTCAATCTGATTGGTTCATTCATCAATTCTAGTCTCACCAATAGGAATTTCGCGCCAAAATCCAAAATCGGTTATCTTCAATCTGATTGGTTCATTCATAAATTATTGTTACGCAATCTGTTTTTTTTGTGGTGCTTATTGTTTATTGAAATATGTTAATCATAAGAATCTTTGGCATCATATAAATTATTCATTTTATTTCATCATTGATTCTGCACAAGTAAAACAATTTCATACTTGTCTTGTTGCTAACTGCTTTCTTTCTATTTTCTTTCGTATTGTTTGAAATATTACTAATTGATTATTCATTAATGATAACATAAGATGAATACCTTCAATAAGATATTGATTCGATGAAAGATTACATAATAATGATAGATTATTAATTCCTTCATTTAATTTAATACAATAAATAGGTACTAATGTTTCTGCCATGAAAATCATCAAATGTCCTGTATTAAATGACATTAGAATATGTTGAGATATGCAATGATTGAAATGATCATCTAAGTATTCTGCAGTATTATGATGATTATTATTATTATTATCATCTTCATTATGAAAATACATTTCGATTGAATTGGTGTTGATGTCAATAAAATTTGTGTAACAATTATTTGGTTTAATTCATTACTACTTATATGATTATATTCAGTAGTATAAATAAATGGTGAAATTTCTAATAATTTTTCACCGATTGAATTAAATAAACTTAATTTAGGTCCAATTTCTTCTTTATTTATATTAGATTGATTCGTTTTTATAATAACATTCCATTGTATATAAATTAAACCTAATCTAGGTGATATAAGTAGATGATTGACAGTAGTATATCTATTTCTATGTAAAAATATCTTTTCTGTATTTGGATATATCTCAAATGGATAATGTAATTCATTTATCATATTTAATTCGATTGTATTCAATTTAAGTACACGTGACCAATTTGATAATTTTACACTAAATAAATATAGATCATGATTAGCATTTGTTGCCATGACACCTGTATCTAAGGCAATATTCAATGCAACACATGTTACTGGGTTACCATATAAATTTCCATAGAAAATTTTTATTATTTTTGCTAAACGTTTTGATTTTTTAGATTTATATGAATGAAATGGATAAAATGGTAGACCAGCATTTTTATATTGTAAATGATAATCCATTTTAGGTAAATAGATTGTATTGAATAATAGTCTTGATGAAGATGAAGATGATGATGATGGGGATCCAGTTTCATCAAAAGATCGATAACATGAAGGATGTTCCTTTTGATCTTGTTCATCATGTATAGTCTTTGGATCAGAATTCATTGATAGATCATCTTGACTACCAAAAAACACATTACTATTTAATAATTTTCTTTGATTCAATGATGATAATAATGAATCATTAATAAAAGGTGAATGATCATATCGAAACTCTATGAGATCTTCTTCTTCATTACGATCATCATTATGATCATAATCATAATCGCGATCACGATCATCATTATCTTCTTCATTTAAAATATCAAAATCCCATATAGCACATGTACCATCACGACTACCAGTAATAATATAATAATGTGTTCTAATTGAATTCTTATATTGATCTATTAAGAATTTATTGATTTTATTAAAATCACCATGATATGTAAATGGTTGTCAATCAATTAAATTATATGCTGAATCCATAGAAACACAACTAATTGTATCTATATGTGGACTTGTTAATAAAGCATGAATTTTTGATTGATACATATTATATATAGTTAAACGTCCATCCCATCTTCCACCAATAAATAACCATTTATCATCATAGGTTAATGCAAATAATTGTGAACCAATAGTATTTAAAGATGAAGATTGTTCTGTATTAGATAAATTTAAAGAAAATATTTCATCAAGTTTAAAATTATTTGTATTTTCAATGAAATGAATCCATGATGAATCAAATGGTCCAACAGAGCTATTATGAAAATATGAAATAAGAACAAAACAAAGTTATCAAAAAGGAAGGTTTTGTGGAGATTTTAGTAATTTTTTTCTCAAATAGTTGAATTCATGAGTCCATTAAAGTTAGACCACCATGGAAAACTTGAAAGTACTTGATGGTTGTTTCATTCTAGTGTGAAACTCATCAGCAGTATGCATCCATGATCTCGTATCGCGAGATTCGAACCTAGAACCTAGCAATCTTAACCTTTAGACTACTGAAATTGTCGGCATCCAATAGTACTTGTTTGAGATTTAATTCATGTTAAACAGAAATGATTGGTAGTTAACAATGGAATTCAAGAAAGAGCGCTCTAATTAAACAATTGCGAACTGGATGGGATATGCTTACACAGCCCTGTTGACGTTTATATCCAGAATCAACAAATAGTACCTTTTCTTTTTGTTCATGCACCTAACACATCATTCACTTATCTATTGAGTTCTGATATTCACTTCTAGATATGATGTAACTCTGATTAAAACGTTTATGACCTAATAGACATATCATGACAATCTTCACAAGATGTAAACATACATCGAAAAGCGATTGATCAAATAAGTGCAGTTCTAAACTTCAATGGGAAGAATCAAACAAATCAAATATGCATCAAGATTTAAGTAGTATTTACATATTTAGTAAAATTTATAAAAGAAATATTGGTGAAATTATAATTTATGAACGGACCAATCAGGTATAAGATAATAGGTCTTGGATTTTTGGCGCAAAATCAATTCATCCATTTGGTTTGTGGAGACTGTACTAATTTTTATAGTTGAATTCATGAATCGATCTAAGCTAGATCACTATTGAAAATTCTCAAGCACTGGATGGCCATTTTGTCTTAATGTGGGATTCTTCAACAGTGAGTACCTACGATCTCACATCAAATGAACTCGAACCAAGGACCTATTGCTTCGTGCAAACCCTTAACCTCCAGACCGCTGAGCTGGCATTCGAAGGTGTTAATCTCTAATTTCAATCGATCCACGATCCTGCGTAACCCTTCATACATTACCTTAAAGTGTATAACTGTCTAACACCTGACATGGAGTGAACTCCACTGGGCAAGGTTTCTCACTGAAACACCAGGAAACCCATTCTGAGGCTAGTCACTAGCGGGCATATGATCGTTATAAGTATGGGGATTTGTGAAAATCGTAGTATTTTCACAGTTGAAATTTTTCCTCACAAATATGATATTCCAACTTTCAAGCAATTCATGTATTTCAGTTGTTGAAATCATGAGTCAATTGAAGCTAGACCACCATGGAAAACCTGGAAGCATTGGACAACGGTTTCATCCTATTGTGAGACACTTCATCAAAGCGCATCCACTTTAAATGACCAGATAATATTATCAGCTGTTATAGAAAAAAATTATGTCGTGTTGTATAATACCTCTTACATATTGAATAGAGATTTAATGAAGCGTAGTGTTTGATTAGCTAGTTATTTTATGGTGTAGTTAATCCTCACTTACTTACTTATTTACTTAATTACTCGTGTTACCTTTCATCGAAGAGTAGACCATCAAACAGGATTCTTTAACCAACTCCGTTCTGACCTCCTCTTTCCATTTACCCCTAAATGCTGTTTATTCTTTTGAAACCCGCCTGCAATATCCGACACAATATATTCCATGGATTTCCTCTTTTCGTTTTGATTTCAGGATTCTAAGATGATACTTCCCTAGTAATACAGTTTGATGATTTCCACAATGTTTGTCCTACCCAATGTCTTCCAATGTCTTTTCTTAATTTCCTCCTTAAATGGGAGCTGGTTTGTTCTCTCCCACAGAAGGCTGTTGCTGATAGTATCCGGCCAATTGATGTTGAGTATCCTGCGTAGACAACTATTTAAAAATACTTGTACATTTTTGATGATGGTTGTAGTAGTTCTTCAGTTTTCAGCACTGTACAGTATCACTGTATTCGTATTGAAGATTTGGACTTTGATATTAGTTGATAGTTGTTTTGAGTTCTATATGTTCTTCAACCATAGGAATGCTGCCCCTTACTTTCCGAATCCCTACCTTTATATCTACATCAAATCCTTCTTGTTCAATAATAACTAATTTATATAAAACTCAATGGGGATGATCTAGATACAATAGTCAAAAATAACATACAACTGAAATCTGATAGAAACTAATACTTAACATTAGATTCAAACTACTGAATTTTTTGAAAAAACTCAATTACCAGTTACTTACTTACTTACGCCTGTTACTCAAAATGGAGCATAGGCCGCCAACCAGCAATCTCCAACCCACTCTGTCCTCAACCTTCCTTTCTAGTTTCATCCAATTCTTGTTCAATTTTCTTATGTCTGTCTCCATTTCTCGACGTAATGTGTTCTTTGGTCGTCCGCTTCTCCTTTGGCCTTCAGGATTCTATGTGAGGGCTTGTCTTGTGACGCAGTTCAGTGCTTTCCTCAATGTGTATCCTATCCACTTCCAATGCTTCTTCCTGATTTCTTCCTCAGCTTGCATCTGGTTTGTTCTCTCCCACAGTACGTTGTTGCTAGTTGTGTCTGGCCAACGGATCCGAAGTATTTTGTGTAGACAACTGTTAATAAACACTTGTATCTTCTGGATGATGACTTTCGTAGTTCTCCAGGTGTCCGCCTCATACAGTAGAACTGTCTTGACATTTGTATTGAAAATTCTGACCTTGGTGTTGGTCGACAGTTGTTTTGAGCTCCAAATGTTTTTCAGTTGTAAATACACCGCTCTTGCTTTGACGATCCGCGCTTTCACATCTGCATCAGATCCATCATGTTCATCAATGATGCTGCCCGAATATGTAAAGGTTTTTACATCTTCCAAATCTTCTCCGTCAATTGTGATTGGATTGATGAATGCTGTGTTGTATTGGAAAATCTGAATTACCAGTTATTCACTTGGCATTGTTTTACTTATATTTTCCAATTGTTACTTAGGACTGCAATTGATCAGTTTCACGTTGGCATATGTACATCCTATGTAGATTGCTTTAGGTCACATGCTGGGTTTTTTTCAAGCAAAAATGGATAGTGGCTAGCAGTGGAATCCAGGACAATCGACACTTCGTCCTATTTGGGAATCGTCAGCCGGGTATACCTTCATCCCAGAGTTGATGGGAATCACTCTGAGACTTGAACCCAGTATTACTCACTTCAAACGCCATCGCGTTCTTCACTTAGCTACTGAGTCCTGATATTTCAGTTAAAAAAAAACACATTTTATTGATTAATTTAAGATCATTCCTACCAATCAACTTACCCATATTGTGATGAACGACATGAATCATAGAATAAACCATATTGTTCTAAAGGTTCAATATTATTGTTCTTATATTCTATAGATTGTTGATCAGTTGGTATCCAAAAATATCGATCAATAATACCTCTACTATTAATAGTAAAAACAGCTGATGCTAAACGTTCCCAATTAGATTTTGGTAATTGATTTTCAGATATTGTTGTTGGTGGTGGTGGTGGCGGCGGTGGTGTTGTAGTTGTTGCTGCCATTGTTGTTGTCATTAATCCAGCAGCAGCTGCTGCTGCTACTGCTGATAACATCGATGAATTCCCAGTAGAGAATAAACGAGTTTTTAATAGATTTGTTGAACGATAAATATCTGTATAAGATAAATCTTTATTGAATGTATTCATTATAGTTGATTCTTGTTTAGATGGACAACAAAATGCTGGTATAACAGTTAAATAGATTGAATTCAATTGAGTTATTGTATTCTCTTTTAATTTTATTGTTTCTATACTAATACCAATATCATTGATATTTGAATGTTTTATAGTACACCATTTATGATTGATGAATTCAATCTTATCAAATAATGTATGAGTATTGAATATTGAATGAAAATATTCATTTGGATTATTATCAGATAAGAGACGTTGAAAGAATGTTGTAGGCTTTGTACTGTTAGGTGTAGTACTAGTACTACTACTACTGCTACTAATAGTAGTAGTAGTAGTAGTAGTAGATGTTGATTGTATCAAGGAGTTATGTTTGTGTATTGAATTGTCATGTTTAAGATTAGCATAAGTTAATAAACTAATAACAGGTAATCTACATTGATGAATTAATATAGATAACCATTCAGAATAGGTTAAACGTTTTGGATGTGGTACCTGTAATTATAGATTGAAAGAAAATAATAATAATAATAATAATAAAATAATTATTAGCAAAGATGGATAGTGGTTAGGAGTAGGATCTAGGAAAAGCGGCACTTCGTCCTATTTAAGACTTGTCAGTTGGATGTACCTACATCTCGGACTTGTTGATGTTCATCTGGGGACTCGAACTCAACACCGTTTGCTTCAAACGCCATTGTGTTATTCACTTTTAGCTACTGAATCCTAATAGCAACTAGCTTGTGCAATGGGGTGAAGTTTAAATTCATTTGATATTGTTTTACTTGAATCTTCTCATTGAGTTATAAGACTGAAATTGATCAGTCTTTTATTGGCATGTATGCATACTATGTGTATTGCCTCGATATTGCCTTAATATACAAGTATTATAAGCTGAAGAGTCCCAAATAGGACGAAATGCACGTCCTGGATCCCAGTGCTAGCCACTATCCATTTTTGCTTATGACGCTTGTAAATTAAAGCAATATCGAAGTAATACACATAGTATACACATATGCCAATAAGAGGCTGATCAATCGCAGTCCTAAACATCAATGGAAAGATTCAAGTAAAACAATACCAAGTGAATTAAAATTATTATTGATTAGAAGTTTGTAAAAATTATTCTTCTTATCATATTGGTTTTTGTTCATGGTATGAAATATTCTGATAAGCCCCCAAATGCCATGATACGGTTGAAGGTGGGGGAAGTCAGCTCTCCCACTCGTAAAGCTCTCATATGACCATGTGCACACAACCACTGACAGGGAAGTCCTACTCACTGTATTCTCGTGGCACTACTGTTGTCTACTAAATTGAGAGGATGGAAGGTGAATGTCCGACACTTTAACCGACAGCCTATGCTCTATCGGGAGTAACAGCCGTAAGTAAGTAACTTTTGTGGAATACCAGTAACACATAAATCATTCGATTTGTGTGACGGATAGGATACTCCATGGGTGCACAAACCGCAACAGGTGGTTTTATTAGGAGGCCACACCCAGAGCCTTCGATCTGAAGGTCAGATCCACAAGGCATTGGAGCAACGTCAGGAGATGCAGTACCATAGTAGCCAGTGACCAACAATAGGTTCATAAACCATTTTTTCCTTCAGGATACGGGAGCCCATTTAAACCATTGGTTTGGAATGAGGGTTTCCCAACTCCTGTAGATGGATCCTCCAAATCCACAAACACGGTTAAAGTGTTGGACATTCGCCTTTCGTCCTCTCAATTCCGTAAACAACACACGTTGTGTGAGAACGCAATAAGTAGGACGTCCCTGGCAGTGGCTGTGTACGCGTGGCCATATGAAAGCATATGGAGTGGGAGAGCTAACTCTCCCTAACCTTGGCCATACCAGGGCGTTTGGGGGCCTGAAGAAGACTTATCATATACGTAAGTAGTGTCTCTGAACAGTGAATTTTTAAAAGAAAACATACAATCTTTTATATATAGATGATATAAATCAATTATGTCATAGAAATTATTTACTTACTTTAAGTAATTGACTTGGAGTTTGTCCAAAATTCTGTATCATACTTTCTAAAGCTTCACGTTCACATGAATTACTAATTTTATCTAAATCTACAGCACCTTCATATGTTACAAAATTGAATACATTCAATGCATTCACTGCATCTGGACCACGTTGTTTATAACTGTAAATAATGAAATAAATAAATATTTATTCATTTGTATTAATAGTTGAATTCATGAGTCAATTGAAGATGGAACATCATGGAAAACCTGGAAGTACTGGACGCCTGTTTCGTCCTAGTATGGAATTCGTCAGCAGCGCGCATCTACGATCCCGCCTGGCAAGACAAGAACCCAGGACCTATCAGTCTCGCATGCGAGCGCTTAATCATTAGACCACTGAGCTGGTATCCAACAGTGTTAATGTCTAACTTCAACCGTTCCACAAAATTGAGCGACATATCCACCATTGTCTTCAGTGAGTTACTATCTCACTGCATCTCATTAGAACTCACTAGAGTCTCATGAGGCGGGATCGTGGATGCGCACTGTTGAGGAGTCCCACAATAGGACGAAACCACTGTCCAGTGCTTCCAGGTTTTCCATGGTGGTCAATCTTCAATTGACGGTAGGTGTTTTTGATACAGTGGTCCAATAAGTCATTGATCAAATGATAAGCGTACTCTATTGACTAAGTTTCGGTTTCCTTTCCTAAGGAACAGGACATATGTCACTGCACCTCAAACCTGCTAACTAAAGGAAGAAGACCAGATTCAACCAAGGGAAAAGTATATTCTACAGGAAGTCAGAAGCACAACCGAACAGACATAAGACACAAGTGTATTTATACAGAAGAAAAACATCCTTGGAAGACGTCACAAAATAGCATATTAAAAGTGGAAACGAACCAAGGAAATTTAAGGCCTCTTCAAGTGGTAAATACTGACTGATAGTATAAATGGGTGCTTTTGGCGCAAAAATGAGAAATCCAAATTTCCATAAATAAAATTACAGAAATAAGACGTTGACAAAATGATTTCTGAGGATCTAGCATCCCTGACACAATAACATAATCCAACACCAAACAACACAACAGCCTTCATAGCTTTACCTACCTAAAATGGTCTAGACTTATAGTTTTAAGCACAATGTACAGAACGGTAGGTGCTTTTTTCAACTCCAACCAGAAAACCCACTAGATTTATTTATTTATTTAAATATGTAGACATTGGTACAACAAGGCACCAAATAGATATGCGCCACATCAATCATTCGATTTGTGTGAGAGCTGGGATACTGTCCGAGTACCCAAACTAAAGCTTGCTAGACTGATAGGTCCTGGGTTAGAATTTCGCGAGGTGGGAACGTGGATGCGCACTGCTGAGGAGTCCCACAATAGGAAAAAATGGCCGTCTAGTGCTTCCAGGTTTTTTCATGGTGGTCTATCTTCAATTGACTCATGATCTCAACCCCTCTGATACGAACACATTATCAGTTCGACTGTGACGACGTATTTAATAATAATAATAATTAATTAAAATTTACCCAAAAATTAAATCAATCCACAAATGTAAATGTGATGAAACATAATCAGATTCCAATGCACCACGATGTTTACGTATAAATTCTTCTGGTGTTGAAGCCCAATTCGGTAGTTCTACATCATGAATACGATTTTGATTATGTTGACGAAAGCCTAAATCAAAATCTGTTTGTTTGTGAATAAAGAAAGAGTATAGTATTGTAATTATAAGTTAATATTCCAATAGGATTGATAAATAAACTAATGAAAACACAAAGATATAAGACTTAAGCTGGATAAGTACATGATGTGTTCATGTTGGTCATCTATAAATCTCAGGTTATTTTAAACGTCAGATGGGTTTTGTGGAAATTAAAGTAATTTCAATGGTTAAGATCATGAGTCAATTGAAGCTGGACCACCATGGAAAACCTGGAAGCACAGGACGGCCGTTTCGTCTTATTGTGGGACTCGTCAGAAGTGCGCACCAGGACCTCGCCCCCCTGCGAGATTCAGACCCAGGACCTACCGGTTTTGGCATGAGCCCTTAACCAGTAGACCATTGAGCTGGCATCCACTGGTGTTAATGTCCAACTTCAACTAATCCACGAAATTGAGCAACACATCCACCATTGTCTTCAGTGAGTTACTATCCATGGTGGTCTAGCTTCAATTGACTCATGATCTTAACCACTGAAATATTTTAAACGTGACCAGAAGATAAACTTAAACTAGTTCTTCATGATTATTGAATCTACGTATTGAATATCAACTTAGGTACTTACTTACGCCTGTTACTCCCAGTGGAGCATAGGCCGCCGACCAGCATTCTCCAACCAACTCACTCTGTCCTTGACCTTCCTTCCTAGTTCTATTCAATTGTTGTTCATTCTTCTCATATCTGTCTCCATTTCTCGGTGTAATGTGTTCTTTTTTGGCCTCCTTATCATCATTTGGTCTTGAGGATTCCAAGTGATGAGGTCTTGCCTTGTGACACAGGTTGGTGCTTTCCTCAATGTGTGTCCTATCCACTTCTAACACTTCTTCCTGATTTCTTCCTCTGCTGGAATCTGGTTTGTTCTCTCTCAATTTAAGTTGTTGCTGATAGTGTCGGAGGTATTTTGCGAAGACAACTCTGAATAAACATCTATATCTTCTGGATGATTGCTTTCGTAGTTCCCCATTTTTCCGCTCCATACAATAGAACTGTCTTGACATTTGTATTGAACATTCTAACTTTGATGTTGGTTGACAGACAGTTTTTTTGAGTTCCAGATGTTATTCAACTCTAGATATGCTGATCTTGCTTTGATGATCCGCACCTTCACATCTGCATCAGATCCACCATGTTCATCAGTGATGTGTTCGACATATGTAAAGGTTTTTAAATCCTCCAAAGTTTCTCTGTCAAGTGTGATTTAATTGGTGAATATCAACTTACACCTTGATATATAAACTAGAAACAATTAGAGTTGTGCGTAGAAACACTAAAATTAAAGTAACCTTATCATAAAATGATTTCTGAAGTGATTACTTGGAATTCTAGTAAGAAGTTGTGATGATTATCAATCGAGGCGTTACGCGCAATGTGCACATATGCCAATAAAAGATTGATCAGTTTCAGTCCTAAACATCAATGGGAAGATCCAACTAAACAATACTAAGTACATTTAACCTTCATCCCATTGCACAAGCTAGTGCCTGTCAGGATTCAGTAGCTAAGAGAGTAGCGAGATAGAGTTCAATCGAACGGTACTGCTGTACTAGTCCCAGAGTGAACATCAACAAGTCTGAGATGTAGGTACATCCAGCTGATGAGAGACCCAAATAGGACGAAGTTGTATAAGTCCTGAATTCCACTACTAATCACTAACTATCTTTGCTTACAATCAATATTTATTTAGTTTTAGAAGTGTGATATAACTTACTATTACTGTTTCGTAGAAATTCAGGTAAGAAAAAAAATTCCGGAATTAACTCTTTGTTATCATTTGGATTATCTAATATAAAACGCCATGCTTTTGGAATAGAATAGAATTGACGATCTGCAACATCAAATCTATCATTAAAAAGAAAAAAAAACAAAACAGACTGATCAATTTCAGTCCTTAACATCAATAGGAAAATCTAAGCAACCTATCAAAACTTAGTAGTTAAGTAGATGGATAACTCAATGGTGTTTGAAGTAAAAACGGTACTGGGTTCGAGTTATGAAGTGAAAATGCTAGGTTTGAAGCTTGGTCTTCGCCGTCTAGTTAGCGGGGCTGGGACGCATCAAATAGCTATCTTACTAGTCTTTGGCCATTGGGTCTTTGTTCTTGTTCGCAGATTGATTGAACTCGTGATAACTTCCAAAACCTAGCAGAAAATCAACTCTATAATTCAGATATATTCAGATGATTAGTCTCAAATAGGACAAAAAGGCTCGTGTCCTTGATTCCACTACTAACCAATATCCGGCATACACATAAGCCAACAACAAAGACTATTCAATTGTAGTCTTAAACATCAACGGGAAGATTCAAACAACCAATAGACAAAATGAACTATTAAGAAGTTTTGAAAAATCGATAAAAACTTCCAATACCATTACACTCTAATAGGATTTCATGACTTCTGTTGAAGAACACGTAAAACTTATCCAGCTGAATGTATCAGCATCTCAGAGTTGATATTGATGTAATTAATTATTCTGAACATAGAAATAAATAGAATTTGTGGGAAAGAACCTTACTGTAGGATAAAGTGACTATTGATTACTCTTAGACATTCTCTTTCTTCTGGTGGTTGAATGGAATAAAAAGACCTCGATATCTGAGGAAAAGTACGGAATACAATGGACAGCTTGCATGCAACTAGACGATTTGGACTCTGAAGATAACCTAGCTATTCTATCCCATACACACGAACAAATACAGATGAAGACAACCAGTGTAGCAGTAGCCTCTTCAGCAGTAATCCTCAACATATACAAGCGAGAAAGCAAGATACTCAAATTCAACACAGAGTGCAACCCAATCACACTTAATGGAGAAACTCTGAAAGAGGTGGAAAGTTTCAATTATCTGGGTAGCATTATCAATGAACAAGGAGCATCTGATGTAGACGTAAAGGTGAAGATTAGAAAGGCAAGGACAGCATTTCTACAATTAAAGAACGATTGAAACTCGAAACAACTGTCAACCAACATCAAAGTCGAATTCTTCAATACGAACGTCAACATAGTTCTACTGTACGAAGCTGAAACGTAGATGACTACTACAACAATCATCAAAAATGTACAAGTACTTATGAACAATTGTCTACGTAAAATACTCAACGTCCGTAGACCGAATACCACCACCTATTGTAGGAGAGAATAAAATAGCTTCAAAATGAAGAGGAAATTAGTAAAAGACGTTGGAAGTGGATAGGACATACATTGTGGTTTTCATCAAACTGCACCTCAAGGCAAGTGTTATCTTGGAATCTTGAAATTCAAACGAAGAGAGGAGAGCCAATGAACATATTGAGTCAGAAATTGCAGGCAAATATCAAAGGAATGAACAGCATGTAAAAACAAGGGGAAAGGGAAAGCCCGAACAGAGTTGGTTGAAGAATCTTGGTCGATGGCCTATGCATCTCAACTAAGGGTAACAGGCCTTACTAAGTAAGTAACTCCTCCTGAAGCCCTTCTAGGATTACTATCAGTCCTAGTATTTTGTAAAAGACTTAAGTTGGATATGGGTTTAACAACAGTATCTTATAAAAATGAATATTACTTAAGAAATATTATAAACACTAACTGAATTGTACTAACTTATTTCCATGTAAATTTACATGATACGTTGTAAACGGTTCCAAACGGACAAGATAATGCAAGACACCAGCAGCGCTTGAATAATGAGTTCCATGATGAAATTTTTGCATAACACCACTTGGATCTTCAAATGAATTATATCTTAGTAGGTAATATAAGATAGAGGAAAAAAACAAAATCCCAATTCAAGCATTTAAATGTGAATGAATTCAACTGATTGAAATCATGAGTCAATTGAAGCTAGACCACCATGGAAAACCTCGGAACACTGGACGGCCGTCTCGTCCTAGTATGGGACTCCTCAGTAGTGCGCATCCACGATCCCGCACCCCGCGAGATTCGAACCCAGGACCTATCAGTCTTGCGCCGTACAGTGCTTCCAGGTTTTCCATGGTGGTCTAGCTTCAATTGACTCATAATTTCAGTCAGTGAATTCCTAAAAATCTTCACAAAACCCCTTCTGGCAAATGAATTCAATATATTGTAAATGTAATTAATGATAATACTGATTATCGGTATTGGGTTGTGGAGATTGTTAAGTTTCTGATTGAGATTATGAATCGATCAATATTAGACTACCACCAGTGGAAACCTGGAAACACTGGACGGCCGTTTCGTCCTAGTACCGGACTCCTCAGAAGTGTGCATTCACGATCTCACACGTGAGGTTCGAACCCAGAATCGTGGACGCGCACTTCTAAGGAGCCTCATATTAGAACGAAACGGATGTCCAACGCTTACAAGTTCCCAGTGGTTGTCTAACATCGATCGATTCATGATCTCAATCAAAAAGATTATACTGATACTTACAAGCATAATTTTATGGAAGAATTTTGTTAAATGTTTGTTTACTACATTACTCAAGTGAAAAGTTCAACAAGCGACACTCAAATAACTTAAATTTAGTGTTGAATGTTAAATGTAATGAATCGATTAGAAAGTATCAGATCAATATGTCATTGTTTAGTGGTACTACTTGACTCTCCAAATGATCTATCCCTTATTCCACATTAAATATTTACAAGTTAATAGTATGGAAATTAATCCGCTGAAATCAGTTCTCAAAAAGAAACGAATAGTACTCGTTACTATGCCCTGGTACCGATGAGAGTGGGGAGAGTCAGCTCTCCCTCTCCAACTACTCTCATATGGCCACGTACATATTACCACTACCAGGGAACTCCTACTCACTGCCTTCTCAAGCAGGTGTTATTTACGAAATTGAGAGGAAGAATAGCGAATGTCCGACACTTTAACTGGGTTGATGGACATGGTGAATCCACCTAGAGAAGTTGGAAAATTCTCATTCCATACCAATGGTGTAAATGGGCTCCAGTATCCTGAATGAAAAAATGGTATATGAACCTATTGTTGGTCACCGGCTACCATGGGACTGCATCTCCTGACGTTGCTCCACTGCCTTGTGGATCAGACCTTCAGATCGAAGGCTCTGGGTGTAGCCTCCTAATAAAACCACCTGTTGCGGTTTGTGCACCCGGGGTAGTATCCCATCCCTCACACAAATCGAATGATTTATGTGTTACTGATATTTCACAAAAGTTACTTACTTACGCCTGTTACTCCCGATGGAGCATAGGCTGTCAACCAGTATTCTCAACAAAAGTAAGATCAAATATGTATGTCTTATCTTTATATAATCAATAATAAAACATGATTCAAATAGATTAAGAACTCACTTCTCTCTGACTTCTTGAATAAATTTCGGATTAGCTAATCCAATAGGTCGTGAAAGATCACGAAATGTATGTTGTGAATTTAAATCTAATTCTGAAGAAGTATAATCAGCTAAAATCCAAGGAAACTGTACCAAGAAATTTCAGGAGAAGAAAAAGAAAACAATAACATTAACCTTTATACTTTTAAACTAACTGCATGTATAGCCGATTCTATGGATCAACTGAAGTTGGACCACCATGGAAAACTTGGAAGCATTGGACGGCCGTTTCGTCCTATTGTGGGACTCCTCAGAAGTAAGCATCCGTGGTCCCGCCTTGCGAGATTAGAACCTAGGACCTATCAGTCTCGTGAGCGAAAGCTAAATCTGTAGATCACTGAGGCGGTATCTAATGGTGTTAATGTCTAACTTCAACTAATCCACGAAATTGAGCGAAACATCCACCACTGTCTTCAATGAGTTACTATCTCACAACAGACCCGGTTGAACTCTACTGGTCACTGCTTCACTAGTCAGGCTTAAATTGATTCATGAAATCAACTATAAAATTTCTAAAATCTTCACAAACCCCCCTTCTGACAGCTGCATTTAGTTCATGATATTGCCAAACTATTTGGTAATAATGTTGGTAAGTAACTGCCTTACACTCGACGTGATTGAATTCAATTCGTCATAGCTTTTTCATTAGAACTCTGGAAACTATCCCTCATATTAGAAAATAACAAGCATACAACTATTGCTAGACTACAGGGTTTTCTGAGATTGTTGCATTTCATAGTTCACATCATATGCTAACGTTAGTTAGATAAGAACCAAAAATCAATGCTGAGAGTCATGGTGAGAAGCCTTAGCCAGTGAGATTTAATCATATTAGCTGAAATACAATAGCTCACCAATGGTATTGGAAGATGATTATTTTATAATATGAATTGAATGAAGTTATATCATTGTATGCTGATACAGTAGTGAAGATGCTAAAAGCTTATCTATAAACCTGTAGTTCCTCTTTCCAACCTTCGGGGTGGTCGTAGGTGCGCAGTACAAGCCTCATATTAAGACGAAACAACTGTCCCATATTTCTTGATTTTCAATGGTTGTTTAACTAAGACCAGTTATTGATGTAAACTCTAACACTTAATAACTACCAAAAACCTTTTACACAAAATCTATTCAAACGTAGGTTGTAACCATGTTATAATTATGTCTTAAAGTAGGGAACCAATAATTAGCTTTACACATCAAGTTAACTACCTAATATCATCTCCCATAAGTTATTTCAGTGCATAAAGTATAGTCCTACATGACTTATATTCTTACAGACTATAAGTTAAGACTGATTCACACCACAAACTAACATCTACTGAAGAACCATGAGAAACCCGAGGGTTACTTGACAATACTCGATCCCATGTACGAGTTTAAGGGATACAATTTCCAAGTTTCTTAAACTAAGACGAAACAAGAATCTTGTGCTTCCAGGTTCTTAATAGTTTACTTATTTGATATCAGTATGTTAAGTAAACTAAATTCAAACAATCATCTTCAAAGAGGATCTCTACTTACCACAGGATATTGACCTAAATCATTAAATGTTCGACCAGCTATTGTATTCAAACGCATTAGATATTCAAAATTTGATATTTCTCTATTGACCCAACGCTGAAAATATAGAAAAAGAACAATCATTACTTTTATGTCTATTTTAAGTAACAAGCACTACACTTATAGAAGGTATCAGTTTTAATGCTTTTGCTTCAACTAGATTTTCTTCCGATTTCATGAATTCCTAATTTAACGAAATCTATCCTTAATAAGCAAAGATAGATAGTGACTAGCAGTGAAATCCAGGATGCGCGTCACTTCGTCCTATTTAGGACTTGTCAGATGGATATATCTGCATCTGCGAGTTGATATTCACTCCAGGACTCGAATCCAGTAACGTTCGCTTCAAACGCCATCGGGTTATTCACAGAACTACTAAGTTTTGATAACTAATAGCTTATTCAGTGGGGTGCAATAAACCCCCTGCTAGCCACTATCAATCTTTGCTTATAAAGCTTGTGACTTCAGACAATATCGAGGCAGTGTGCACAGGATCCACATATGCTATCAAGAGACTGGCCACTACAGTCCTATACAACAATGGGAAGATACAAGTAAAACAACACCAAGTGAATTTAAACTTCACCCCATCGCACAAGCAAGTGGCTATCGGGACTTAGAAGTTAAAAGGGTAATGCGATGGAGGTTGAAGCAAATGGTATTGGGTTAGAGTCTTGGAGTGAACATCAACTATGGGATGCAGGTAAATCCAGTTGACGAGTCCCGAATAGGACGAAACGCGCGTTAAACTGGATTTCACTGCTATCCATTATCCATCTTTCACAATTGGTTGATCACTGGGTGGTTATCAATTTTATCTATATCAAATCCTTCTTAGTGCAGATCGAATGCTATCGTCTAAGTTTCACTGTGGCCACAAGTCTAGATGACTCGACATTGCGTACACTATGTTGAGATCAGATGGTGGTTGGAGGTAGTCAACAGGAAACCCTGCCCGATCTAGGTTTCGTGCTATTTGGCACTCGTCAGCAAGGTGTACCTGTAATCTTGAAGGAACTAGTGCTCCTTAACTGATACGATCTCGTGTCACCCAGCTTCACGGTCAAAGATGTTACCACAGGGCTATCCGGGCCGCGACTGACTTCCTGTAGGAAGTTAAAATTCTAGCAGGCATAAAATCCATATCACAGATACATTGCTGATAGTTTGTCTCTTTAAAAAAAAAAGAAAAAAAAGGTCCACTGTTTATTGATCTTTGAGAAAGCCTAAGTTGACTAAGTTCTCTGTGTGTTAAATTACAAAAAGTGTAACCAACGCAGGTCTTCTGTATAGTTGTGATCAGTCTGTCTATCCTCATAACTAAAATGAATTGTATATATAAATAGTAAACAGACATATCGTCCAATCAACAACCTTGAAATTAATCAATACTCTCTCTGATTGGTTGTTTTGATAAGGCTGTGCATAAATTAATTCTAATAACAAAGCTATTATTATAGGAAGGGTGGTGGTGGTGGTGGTGGTGATGGTGATGAATTGTCACAAACAAAATTGTAACTATGATTCATCTTAACAAATTACCTTTACAAAATGATGATGATGATGATGTCTCATTCAAATAGTCAGCCCTATAATAATCATCTATGTTTCTATGTCTGATTTGGTATAGTGTGTATATAGCGTATGACATTTATTGTAGCTCTTAAAGGATGGTTGATAGAGCATTAGACCAATGGAAGTTCCACAATAGATCGAAACGGCTGTCCAGTATTTCCAGGTTTTTCATGGTGATCTAGTTTCAATTGACTCATGATCTCAACTATTGGAATTACTACAAATTCCAAAAAATAAACCCTTCTGATACTAATCAACATATACACACTAGTGACTGGCTTCAATAGGTATTTCCTGGAGTTCTAGTGAGTAGCAGTGACCAGTGCAGTTCAACTGGATCTGTAGTGAGATAGTCACTCACTGAAGATAATGGTAGATGTGTCACTAAATTCATGGATTATTTGAAGTTAGACATTAATACCGTTAGATGACGCCATGTTCAGTGGTCTAGAGGTTATGCGCACACGCGCGAGACTGATAGGTCCGGGGTGCGAATCCCATGAGGTTGGACCGTAGATGCGCATTGCTTAAGAGTCCCACAATAGGACGAAACGGTCGTCTAGTGCTTCCAGATTTTCCATGGTGGTCTAGCCTTAATTGACTCATGATCTCGGCTGTTGAAATAACATTGGTTCTTAATTTTAGTACATCAACTAGATGATAAGGCCTATATACCCAACTTAATTCATAACATAAACATTATTAGCCGAAACGTTATCTTTAGTTGAAATTAGAAGTTGGGGTTCGTGTAATTTACTCACTAAACTGGATTTTTTCGACTTTATTATCATACGATGATATTACCAGACATTATAATTACTGTTGGTCTATTATCTATGTACGACGCGCTATGCTGATTAGTGTTGGAGAGGGTTGGAAGAAAGTCAGGGATGGTCAAACCAAAACGTTGCATCAGTGCTTGAAGTCACTAACTTCTAGTCTGAGTCATGGTGGTAGATGCAGACTACTTGGTTGAGGTCCGCATGACTATCGTAACCAATGGTTGGAGACTCTAGGTGACATGGCTCAGAATCGATCACAATGGTGTAGGTGTATACACTCTCTCTCTTCCTTTAAACTATGAGATTAAAATCGTATCATATCTTCCTTTCTACGAACTAATTCTTTATTTCTGTATTATATCCTTATACACAATCCTTCTTTTATATATTACTACGACTTAATTAACTACTTTTATGATTATCGTGTTCATCTTGTTGTGCTTATGAGGTATGGCAACTTGGAACGATGTGTATGTGTCTGGTCATACGCTGTAGCTGACTGACTATCTATGTAGATATTTTCACACGTTATAAGGTCCGAATGTAATTCAAAAAGTCATTCATTTGCTTCCATGTTATAATTATTCTCAAAATTTGGAAATCAGACTAAGTAATTCACATAACATTTGATCTTCTAGAAGTCTAGATTTCCGCTAGGCAATAATATTAGCAAAATCACATTTGTTTATTACATTCTTAAGATGGATATCAACAAAATTGCCATAGTTTCCGTTGACCTTGTAAGATGCACTAATGTATTCTTCCATCTTTACTGTGGATTTCATTCGTTGATCTATTTGTGTAGAATGTGAACATGTTAATATGTAGTTTAAGTAAATACAGTGAATTCGATTAGTTGCTGAGTAGAAAACTTAATTGTTCGTAGCGCTATCGTAGCCATTTAGAAACTTTCTATTATTCTGGATTCCACATCATCATGGATTGAAACAAAACATCACTATGTGATCTCTGTGACTATCGTTGGTCAGAAGTTAATCAACTGAAAGTATAGGGTCAATAAAATACCATTGATTCATAGTTATATCATCATGACAATCAATATATAATCATATTCATAAACATTGATTATCAAACATTGAATAATTTGTCTTGATCTCTAAAGTTCAACAATAGTTAGCGCTCATAGAATCTACAACTGAACTTCAAATAAGTATTTGGATCAACTTGGTCACATTCCAGTCAATCAGTTTCCTGTTTCTTTCTATCATGTTAGGAGTGACCAAGTTATAAGTCAATCGAATTGTGAAATTTCTACATAAGTATATCTAGGTTGACCAGTTATACAATTCGAATGTACTTTATCATTGATTTTATACATGAATTTCAATATTGCTTCTGATACCGTTGTAGGGCCACTGAAATGTCACTGAGCCGTAAACAAATCATCCGGTAGTTGAGTCACTGAATAACGAACAGATCATCGGTTTCTATGTAAGTCAAGGACAAACAAAGCTCGTCAATTAGTCGTATGCTATGCGGTGGTGGTCTCGAATTCATCTCTGTACTCATTCTTACTAATATACTTCCATAATAACATCCTTTGTGTTATACGGTCTTCAAGGCAGCCATAGTACTTTGATACATCAAAGGGGTAATTCATATTAGATGCTGACTGCGAGATGCGATTTCAAAGTTATCTGGTTCGTTACATCATTCCCGTCTAATTCGAATAGCCCTCCAATCATTTGACATAGATCATCTACGTTGGTGATCTACACCGTAATCGAATTATCTGTTCGGTCATCTACATCATTCTGCTGTCCTAAAAAGTATAACAATGAATGTTTGTTCTATTTGTTGTATTAAAAACTTACAAATTATCTTTGACATTAAATACATGGTAGAAAAGTTCCCTAAACTGAAAATACTGAATACATTATTTGAATTGACAAAATCATTGATTTTTATGTTAGACAAAGGTCATGTACACTTGGTTACATATTGGTACTTCCCATTGAAATACATTTTATTGTATTGTGATGGATACAATTCTAAAGTTTATTAAGACAATATGTCATTTTATTATCATACCTTTGTGTACTTTTGATTTTCATCCCATATATAGATCAATTCAGAAGGACATGTCATCATCATTGATTTAGTAAAAATACTTACAATCAAACAAAGTAACTAATCTCTGAAATATTCTTAAGTTGAACTTGTGAAAAGCATAATAGATGAAAAGTCTAAGAATGACATTGATTCAACAGTGAACACATAAATATTGATACAAAGGGGCACCGAATATATATGAGCCACACAAATCAAGTGATTTGTGTGTGGGCTGCGATACCACCCCAGTGCCCACACCGAAGAAGGTGGTTTTCTAAGGAGGCCATACTTGGAGCCTTCGACCTAAAGGTCTGATCCACAAGGCAGTGGAGCAACGTCAGGAGATGCAGTCCCATGGTAGCCGGTGACTAACCATTGGTTGATACGCCATTTGTTCCTTTAGGATCGTGGAGCCCGTGTGCATCATTGATTCGAATTAGGGTTTTTTAACTCTTACATATCCATCAACCCGGCTAAAGCGCCAGACATTCGTTTTTCCTTCTCTCAATTTCTCAAGCAACAGCCTTAACACGAAAAGTCAGTGAGTAGGACTTCCCTGACATTGTTTGTATACGCGTGGCCATTCCGAGAGAGAGAGAGAGAGAGA